TTAACCTAATTTCCCATCCTGGAAGTAGGGTTGGGGCACGAGCCCTCTGGTGCATTTTTCCGAAGAGGTATTTTGATTGTCTCGAAGGACTAATGTTTAGCGAAGAGAAATCTAGCTAGAGCTCCCCTCATTTTGATCTAGAGTGATGGAAAACCGCTAAAAACTACCACCGGGAAAGGTAACCTCTAAGTAGTAGACCTATGGCCTCTTGGAGATCAGCCAGCAAAGCGCCTAAGACTTTACTGACACTACTTGGGCGTCTAAAGTTAAAAACGAAAGAACTTATAGAGTGAACATATGTTTTTTAAAAGTTAAATACAGTTTAAATTTATATATTAACAACCCAATATTATCTGAGGAAGATATTAGACTTCTTACTTAGCACGTTATATAAACTTAAGCAGCTATGGTTAGATTTTAAAAATGCCTACGCTAAGGGAAACTTAAGAGTAAATTTAATGGTAAAAATGCCCTTAGGGTTTTATTTTACAAATAAAGATAACAGAGAAGGCAAATGTCTTTGACCAAACAAAACTCATTACGGAACAAAGCAAACCGGAAAACTCTGGTTGATCTTTTTAAAGGAGAGTTAAATTCTTGAAAGTGGCGTCAATCTGTACGCCAAAAACCTGAGGTGTTTACAGGCGATGCAGACAAATTTGTAGTTTATTAAATTTTAGACTATTTTTTTTTAAGTATAATAGTTTAATTAAAATTAAAAATTTAAGTATATACCTGTGTAGATTTTCTGATTAATGAAAAAGTCGGATCCTGGTTGGTCGTTTTTTTGTGACTTAATGTCCCTTGTAATCCTGCTTTTCTTTTTAAACTTATTACTTTATAGATCCGTTATCTTTATTACTTTTTAAATTCGGCTGCTTCCTGTTTTTGTGGTTAATATTTTTATATCTTTAAGTTTATTCAAATTAGTGTTTAAGTTACTATTTTTCTGTTAAGATGAATTTTGCTTGTATTTTTGTTTGTGTTTGTTAATTGATCTCTTCTTAAATACTAACATGTTAATCGGTTTTTAGAGGATGTGCTGGACAACTTTATTTTTTCTTATTACTTTGTCGTCTATAGCCTTTATGGTACAAAGAATACTTAATTCGTGTATATTTAAATTGTTCCGTGTGAGAATACGAAACATTTGTTTCACCTCTTAAAATTCCGGAAAACTGAATTGGGCAATTACTTCTTGCTTGCAGTAGTTCTAGTAACTATTAAATGTAAAATTATAAATATTGAAATTTTTAATCATGTGCATGACAGGGTTTAAGGAAAGTTGCTTATATTTTAAACAATGGTTGGACAAGCACGTTTAAAGCTTTAAACACTAATGAAGGTAATATGTAACGCACGATTAAGAATCCTAATGCCCGTAAAAGTAGGGGTTAAAAAGGAATGAGCTGGAATGCCATCCTCACATCTATAGTAGCTCTAACAGGATTTTTTTACTTTTTTTTTCACTTTTAACTTTGAAGGTCTAAGTACTGCTGGTTGAGTTTGTTCGTTTGTTATTTAATAAAATGGGCTCCGACTTTCAAGGACAAATGCTAATTTATTAGCTACTATTGAATAGCTATATAAAGAGTTGAAGGCCAAATTGAAGTAACAGAATTTTAAAAAAACGTCTCCTATTAAAAAAAAAAGGAGAGACTAAACGACGAAGAAAGTCGATAGAAAATTTCTTCTATTATAATTAATAACGTTAATACTTTAAATTACTTAACGAGCTCTGGAAAGAAGTCTTAGAGGTGAGTGAAGGAAATGCTTTTTTAATAAAAGGCACTAAACGACACTAATAACAAGAACATTAATAATAGTAAAAATAAAAATAATAAGAAAATAAAAAAGGACGTGGTAGTAGTAGTAATAAATTTAGTAATAACACTTTTTCAATAAACCTTACTGATTATATCAACCTTGATAGTAAAATTATTAGTAATATCACTAAATACTTTATTTTTAATAGTAGTAACAAAGACTACGATATGCCTGGTAGAGAGCACAAAGATAGCTTTGATTTAGAGATGGGCAGTACTTCTCAACGCCCGAAATACTTTCAGCGACTCCGAGCCACTTCCGCGGTTACATCTCTTAGGCGAAATAACAAGATCCCCTGCGGTCCTATGCTTAAAAAGGAAGTGGAAGCATATGGCTAGCCAACAACAGTCCGAAGTCTAGGGATACACGTCAAGAAATAAAAATTTCTTCAGCAACTGTAAATAAGTATCGAGTCATCACTAAGCTTACGCGTAATGAAGCGTTACCTCCTATCGCTTACCAACTACGGAGTGCGAGCCTTTAAAGTTTGTTCTTCGCGAAATCAATTGCGATCTCAACGTCCAAACCGTCGAAGGAGACTTATGCACGCAAGGCATCTTACCCTCCTCTTGGCAAGGGCGCACACTAAGGACGCCGTCGATGAGAAACGCACAAAGCGACCTTTACCGCTAGTTTTAGTGCATATACCGAGGCCTGATCGGCAAAAGCTGTTGAAATTAAAGACGGTTTCTATCTTTAGGTTAAGGTGAAAAAGCTCCGAAAGAGTGATTGAGTCGGATAGCAGTGTTACCGTTGTCAGGTCCCCTCCCCCCAAGCGTTAAACGTTGGCGATGACCAATTGAGTGCGCAGTGCACCAAATCATGAAATAGTCCTGCCAATTATGCTAATTGCGGTAAAGCGCACACTGCTGGCTACAGCAACCAACACTTCGATAACAAGCCAGTCAACAATGTTAGAAACGGTGTGGAATTCGTTTTCAATGGTTTCTAGTCCACAAGTACATCGTCTGTCTACTGTTTTGGAACGCAGATGGCATATTGCATAGGAAACAAGAGTTGCAGGAATTGACGCAACACGAAAGAATTGATCTGTGTGTAATTAGTGAGACTCTTCTTCCCAACGTTCCATTAAATTTCTGAACTTCTTTTACGAACCGCCAATTCCGCCTTGTCAGAAGCGGTGGAAGCGCAGTTGTTTGGGCCCGACGAAACATGCATACAGTGTTGTGATATCTTTGCCAGCCCTGCCGAGCATTGAGGCGGTTGGAGTTTCCTGTTTATTTAAGCAGGAGCCCACGCCGGTACTTGCAGCTAACAAGCCCACCAGCAGGCCATTTATTACCTCAGGTATAGATAAATTATTCTTCATTTGTTGTGTGTGGGGGCCTTAATGCAAGACCTTTGCCTGGAAAATCTGTGTCGATAACCCAAACAGCCGAATCCTCGAATCTTTCACCGATGAGAGCGGACTGCGCGTCTTAGGGCCCCTGTATCCAAAGCACACGGTGAGGCAGGGGTATCAGATGGATTAGATCGCCGTTTTGACAATATTCAAATTTCAACGCAGTAGAAATTCTTTACAAACTCTCATCGGACAATCTGCCAGTACTGCTATATTCGGGCGGCGAAAAGAAGTTAGTAAGGACATATTCCAGGACTTTTACTTTCTGGGCTAAATTCTTCGAGGTTCTTGATATGACCTTTTCTACATCTTCCGCCTTACTCAGGACACCCGCCTAACTTGACGTTGCTGTTGCTGAATTCGAGGAGGACGCTTTGATCATAGAGTATCACACTAACGCTAAAGGACAATTAAAAATAACCCAATATATAAGGTGATAGGCCTTTACACTGAAAAGCCTCCGAAAATTTTTTTTTATGGAAAATGACAAGGGGTTAATGAGCGAAACCCTCCTAAACTAATGTATAATCCGTTAAAAAGTCACTCCACTTTTATTAAGCCCAGTTATAATGCAAGGACAGCTAAGCGCTTACTATGATTCCACTTTAAATCTAATACTTGCCTAAGTTCCCTTATTACCTACTACTCCCTACTTTCTAAAGATCAAGTGGCGTTGGTATAAAATTACTTTTCGTGTTGCAAGAATCCTCCTTAGAAAAACTTGCTGAGCTTTAGGTACACTTCGGTGTAAAGTAAACAGCTGGATATATAAGCAGTTAAATTTATCTTTTTGTTGTTGGAGACAATTATTCGTGTGCACTCAGATTTACTAATAAAAAAATGAGCGTTGGGACTATTATAGAAATTTACTGTTATTTTTTGGGGACTTTCAAGTGTTAAGTATAAGCCCTGAACAAAGTCGGGAACATAAAAGAATTTTTACTAACAAATGTGTGTATTGCAATTATAGCAAATTTTAACCCAAATTATACAAATTAAATTGATGTTAATATTTTTAAAAATGAAAAACAAATCTATGACGTAAGTTTTGTAATATTAAAAAAGTAAAATTGTTGTATATTCGAACTGTTCACATCCCCACCAGTTTTTTTTGTATATATACCTTACTACCTTTATAATATATTAAAGAACTGCAACCATTTCAAAAGGAAAAGATCCTTTTACGAAATGAGTTAAGGGAAAACTGACCTTACTTATCCTTTGTACGATACCAAATCTTCAACCTTCAAGACGTTGGTATCGTCTTACGTTTACCTCCAAAAAAATTTTATTTATGAAATCAGTGCAACTATAGGACTTCTTTTAGCCTTTGCTTCGGGCAAGGACCCAAACTCCTTTACTTTTTTGCCTGAATGAGTACCACATTTAAAAAAACATTGAAAAATTGACGCTGTTAGTAGCATAATGGCTGTTTTACTTTAAGTTTTTTATTTATTTAAATTATTTTATTTAAAAGCGTTTTATTTCGTTAATGTTATAGCCTACTTCAAGCTTATATGTCAAAAGTTAAGGCCCTATAAATACTAATACTTTAAATTAGTACGTATGCTTTTTAACCACAAATATTCAAGCATCAAAGGTAAGCGCAGCAACATAGCACACATATATACTTATTTCTAAATTAAAACCTAAAGAAGAGACAAAGAAGAGTATATAAGAACTGTTCGTTAGGTTTCCTATATTTCTAAAGGCGACTAAAAAAATAGGGAGGTGCATGCCTTACTCTTTACTAATAATAAGCCTATATTTTTATGCAAACTTTAATAATCAAAGTCAGTTTTTATAAAATAAACTGAGATTTTGAGAAAATTAAAGAGACAAACAAGCTTCTTAATAGAAAGCAAGCATGTCTAAGCCATCACAAAATAATACATTTTTTTTTCTTAGACGGGTTCTTGGTGCGACTGGGCTTTTCAGCTCCCGAAGACTCAGGAGAAACGGAAGCTTGCTTGTTTTCCGCAGAAGAAGCAGCAGTGCTCACCACTTTCTTGCCTTCAGCAGCAGTACCACAGCTAGTACGGCTTTTCAATATTTCTCGAATCAGCTGGATAAAAGCCTCGTCAATGTTATGAAATGTTTTCGCTCTTTAAAAAATTGAAAACACAGTAAAGTTTTTGGTTGCGATACAAAGTCTACGCAAAGTACGAAGTTTCCAAGTAAAGGGCCCCTGCTTTCTCAGCAAACTCCCTTCCTTGCTCTTCGGAAACTTCTCTTAAGTCCTCAAGGTCCACTTTATTGAGGCAGACCACCATTGGGACCTAAAAAAAGTATTTATGTCTATAAGAAATTGACTGTATAAATTTGTAATAATTAAACATGAGCAAACACCTCTCCGAAAGCTTTTAATGTGAATAAAAATTCTCCTTACAGTTTTTAAAAATACTTACATAAGGCGAAAAAATGCTAATATGTATATCTTTTCAAAAGATCCAAGTCAAAAAAAATTTATTGCTTAAAAAAAATTCCTATATTAAGTTTGTAAAACACCTGGCGATATTTAGCATAAAGGCGCCTCTAATGGAGAAAGGTAGTATAATATTTAAAAGTGTTTACATAAACCTTTGAATTTTCTTTAATCCGAATTATTTGTGTTTGAATTGGCTCCAAGTCCGATAATGTTGAAGCATCAACGCAGGAACACACCAGAAGAAAACCGTCTCCAGCTTGTAAGTGCTTATCGCCCCAAAGACCTCTTAATAAAAATATAAATTTAAATTTTGGCTATATTAAGCTTACAAATAATAATAAAAAGTAAAGATAACGAATACCTAAATTCTTCTTGTCCGGCAGTGTCGGTAATGTCTAACTCGACCGTCTTACCATCAACCTCCACGCTCTTAGAATAGGAATCCTCTACATTTTTTATTAAAGTATATTAAACTAAACCGCTAGGAAGTTACTAATAATTTGTGAGTTAACTTCCATCAGTGGAACAAAAAAACCCCTTTAACGGCGTATATACAACAAAAAAAAGAAAAACCTATAGTGGGGTCATATTCGACAAGAAACTCTTTTCGTACAAAACTTAGTGTGATAGCCGACTTTCCAACCCCTCCTGGACCCACAACTACGACCCTTACACTTTCCGACATCCCAAACACCAGAATTAAAAGGAGACGCAGTTAAGAAAAGCTTGATAAAGCTAGCACTAGCAACAATCCTTAACGACTGGCTTCATGCTTATACCAAACTGCTCGTCGAATAGTTGAAAAGGCATTCCGCAATTGGTTTAATTAAATAGTCATATCTGAAAAACGTAACCCTTTCTACAATGCACCTCAGGAACCCCTCCTATAGCCTTCACTGCTCAACTTACACCTGCCACCAAGGTTTGAACTTAGGCTAGTAAGAATGGAGGCGGTATCAATGACTAAAGGTTGTTTATATAGGGAAGATGGGAAATAATAAAAATGTTTCCAATATAATTTAATTAGCATTTTAACTTTATTTTTTTCAAAATTATTCTCAAACTCCTTGAGGGCATTCATTTCATGGTAATATACTACCCTGCCACAGGTCATCGGTTCTTATTTTAACAAAGTTATATCTCTAAAATTAAGTTCACTCAATTTCAAAAACACTACTTCATAGACTTTACTACTCTCATCAAAAGTATTTTTTATTAGTAGCTCAAAGGACACCGAGCACCGCAAGAATCATTAACCAAAAAAAACTATCTTATTAGATCTGCGATTTACACTTTAAAGTGGATTGTACCTGGTTTGGCGTTTAGTTGTCTTCAAATTGTTTTTGCAAAAGGTGTTAAGCTGCTGCTTAAATAATTTTTTGATTGCTCAAATTGCATCATTTACGATCTAAAACAATGGCTCCAGCTTTTCTCACAATGTCTTGGCATATATTATGTTTTACGATTTAATTATCTACTTTTGATACTGTTTTTTTTGTTAACTCTTCGCTGCGAAATTGGAGCTCCTACAAAGATTCCTTGAATTCAAACCCTTTGCTTTCTTGTCGATGTTAAATTCTAAAATTCCCCTGTAATTTTTTAAACACTCGGTTTACATATATATTTATAAAAAAAACCCGTGGGTAAAAAAATGACAGACATAGGTATAATACAGTTATATGATTAGTGTCTCTTCGTCATGTTGGGGTTCTAAGTCTTAACCACTATTATATACTACAAGTCAAAGTTTGTATTAATTTGAACTAAGTTATTTATAATTATGTTAGTGCGTATCAGGAGGATTACCGCCAGAGGATTACTTTTAACTTTTAAAATTATTTATATTAGATTTTTACTTTGCTTTAAGCACAAAAAAGTGTCAGCAACATCTAAAAATTTTCACAAAGTAAAATCTTTTAAATTTGTTATTATTTCTCGGGTTGGGCACTAGTAGATATTTAATCTTTAAAGTAGATGTATTTTTACAAAAGTTGTATACGTAATTTATCCACCAAAAATGTGAGTTGTCATCGTAGCTCAGTGGTTAAAGCATTATCGCGAAGTCTCAAGCTCCGCGAATCCCCTCAATGGCAACCAGCATTTTTCTGATTTGGTGGTTACCGTACAACTCCCTGTAAATGCTTTTCTTCGTTTTTAATAGTAAAAGCTTTAAAGGTTGCTTGCATTTTTAAACTGTTATGTTTCATTGGGCCACTAACATATGATTATGGTTTATAGATTTGAAAACAATAAAAAAGGTAATGTAGTAGCAACAATAATGCTACAACGAAGATTATTAAGCTACAACTTTCACTGTAAGAAATGAAATTCAAATAAATACTTGTTGAACATAAACATATATGGACTCTTTAGAATTTTGTAACGTTACAGCAAGGATCTAAAATTTGCATAATTAAGGGTAATTATTAATTATTTATTAGCTGGTTTTCAAATTGAAATAATATTTATATATATATAAATTTTTTAACAAACCATGCGTAACCGCCGTGGTTTTCGCGCAGATACACTTTACCATGAATTACTGTTGAGCTACTGAACGCAATCTTAGAAAATTGTGCCGTCACCCTCTACGAACGAATAGCACTGGAGACACTAATCGCCTGGAAGAACTAACGGCGCATTCTTAGTATGACGGCTGAAAGCTAAGTTGGGGGTTTAAATCAAACATGAAGGACAAGGTTAAGGACAACTCTACTTGTACTCGTGGACGACTGAAACCCTGTTTAAAAGCTTGTGTATTCAAAGTTGTTAAAGATAAGTAAGGCGTGGGTAGTTCATTATTTTCAACACTCTTTCCTCCTTTTTCGGTTTTTGCTGCGTCTTTATTATTGTAATTTTACATTGGTCCAGAGGACATTCTAGTCGAAGTTATTAAATAACTTAGTAATCTAGAGGACAACTAAGTATATATAAATTAGTTTTACTAAATATTTTAAACAGGTTAAGAATACTCTATTTAAACAGGCTATAAAAATTATTTACTCAAATGTTCCAACAATAATAACCTACTGTCAACGCATGAGAAGTTTTCGATCATTATAATTATATTTTTTTTCATTTAAGAGTTATTGTGAAGATTATTAATCAAAAATTAATGGAGCGAAATTTGGGCCACACTGCAGCGAAACCTGTTTAACTTAAAATTTCTAATTATATTCTTAGTCACGTACGTCTGTAGGAGATCTAATTTTCTTGCTCTGTTATCTCTGAGTGGAGTGCGTTGTGGTTTAATGGCAGTCTAATTAATATCATATATATTGGACTAATTAATATTTTTACATTATATCCTACCTTGGGTTTACATGTGTTTACGATTTTTACAGTCACTATCTGTAATAGTGCCAATCTAGAAACAACAAATAGTCACTTGGCTGTTTGTTTTTTACCACTTACATTTGGTAGTAATATTCATTACTATAAGGAGTTTCTATAATTGGATTTTTTGCGTTCAATATTACCTTTAACCCGTGCATTAGTACTTAATTCCTTTAGAGAGAGACAGGATTTATTAAAGCTTTTCCCGGTAGTTCATATACCATCAACCGACTACCTTTTGGACGGTTAATTACTATAGCGAATCGAGCGAGTGTGCTCCGTACCAGTCCCTCATAACATTTAACTTGTGCTTTTTTTTTTCTCATTCTCTTTCTAATTTGAAGGGGCCAAAAAGGTTAATTACGCTCTAATAGCAGAATTAATAGCGTAGTTACTGGTAAAGTAATTTTCTTTTATTTTTGTCCTTAGGTTTATAATACGCTGCATCCCATGTTAAAAGTATCAGCCGACCAAGGCTGAGTGGCATACCTACCACTGACCCTAGCAAGTAATAAAGCTGACTTTACTTGCAACTTATGATAGAAAACATTAATTAAAATATTTAATTTAAGTCATGATTGTTTTTTGAGTGCCACTTAAATTACTAAATACGATTATTTTTATTACTAGTGAATATAGTAGTGTTCATATTTTCTAACAAAGATGCTGCGTATTTATGTAACTTAGCATATAGTGCAACAAAGTCGAAATACTCTCTATCGAATAAAGTTTTGTTCAATGATACCTCAGCGAAATAATTTAGTTTGCTTCACTATCTTCAATTCCTCTGCTATGGGAGGTATTAAAAAATGTTCTAAATTAAAGGTCACAAACAACTAGAATTTATCTCTCTACTTACATTAGTCAAGAGCCTCTAAGCAACTAATGCTATAGGCCTTAGCCCTTTTACCCTCTTATGTTGTCTAAAGTCTTCTTTTCTTAGTAGAGTCTTTATTTTCAACGGTCAATCTGCACAATGGGCTTTTACATCTCAATAACATTGCAGAATAAACTTTTCCGTATTTTTCTTTAACTTTTCGTCTTTCTCTTAGCTTAAGTTATGAATCTGTTTAGTCCATTCGGCTCTCGATTAGTTTAACTTCTCTTAAGGTTAGAACAACAAACTTCTCTAGGATACAACAGGTGGCTAAAGCCCAAGGTTAACCTTTTAATATTTTTAACATTTTATGGAATGACCCCTTGATTTTCCTATCTTATTTATAACAAATTAGGATAGTAGAATCCCTTGATTAATAACAGAACGCTAGTTCAAAGTCAAATTTTAGTATATAAAACCTGTGAACTACCGAAAAATTAGAAAAAGTTTAAAAATTCGGTTATTTTTAAGGCAATAAAGAGTAACTACTATGCTATAGGGGTTTATTTTTCTTGCCACAGAAAATATCAAATTTTATTATTTACTATGACCCCGTTAACGGTCACTCAAGTTTGATTCAGTGAACATAAAGTTAACATATTATTAGGCCCTACCAAGGTAGGACTTGCACTGCAGCATGCAGCGTTATAAACAGACTAATAAATTAGCAAATAGGCTAAGGTAACCTAGATATTCTATCGATTCTTTTTAAGCATCATTGCATTTACATATGTAACAGTCACAATACGCATAAAACAAAAAGATGTAAAAGCGCAATTGATAGCAAAGTAATTTTATTTGTTTATTCTCTCCTTTTATAAATAAAACTTCATTAAAAAGCTTTATCCCTGCTCATTTAGATCAATTTTAATCATTATCCAACAGGAGAACCATGACTTATTCCAAATTATATATATATTTATATAATTACTAAATTGAAAAGAATGTTATAAAACCTTAATGTATGTAACATTTACGAAAATATTAGTAAAGAGGCTATGATTTCTAAGTATACGTGAATTTTTAAAATTATATAATATTTTTAATGTCTATCAAACGTGAGAGCCATCACTATTCTGATATGCTTGTGTGGGCCAGTTAGCTAGTAATCCCCAAACTTAGTAAAAACTATATTAGGCTAGGAGATTTGTTAAAACCTATTACGGGTGCTATATAGGGATTGCTAACTTTAAAAGCTCCATGTGATCTTGAAAAACGTGGAACGGCCTCTAATATCCGTCCTCCATCTCTCCAAACATACTGCAGTTTATATTGTACAGCAGTCCGGGGTGACTCCAAGAAACAAGAGCGTTAAACTTAAAGACTTTGATCTAATTACAATGCCTGGAGATCCTGATAAGGTCTTCCTCCCCTTTTTTTTTTACTTCGCAGAGGGCTTAACACCCTTTTTGATAAAAATTTATTATAGTTACCTATATTAAGTCAGGTGTTGGATGAAATCTTTGTTTTTAGCTTCCTTTACTTTTTGCTTTATAGGGTAGTAAACTATTTAGAACGCGCTGTTCGCAGTGTCATAATATAAGTGATGGTACTAAACACAAGGTCGGTCCCGACCTTGCTGGTTTTTGGGGAAGGAAAACGGGTCAAGCTAAAGGTTACAGTTACACCGATGCAAACGTAAATAAGGTATAATTACGGTTATGTTTTACTATCGCAATCACTTTTAAAATTTTATAGAATATAACTTGGGATGAAAAAACGTTGGATGAGTACCTTATTAATCCTAAAAAGTACATTCCTGGTACTAAGATGGTGTTTGGAGGCCTTAAAAACGAAAAAGACCGCTCTGGTAGTTTTTGAATCTTGAAGTTTGAATTTTTAGTTGATTTTAATTTTATTGCTTAGACTTAATCGCTTATTTGGAGAAGAGTTGCAAGTCCTAATTTTTTGTCTTCGTGCTTTTGCTTAGAAAATAAATTTACTTATTAGCAACTCTTTTACATATCCTTAGTGTTAATTCCTCTGCTATTATAACGATTGCATAGATTCCCTAAAGTATTTGCCTGATTTACTGCAGCTTCTTTTATCAAATTTTAAATATATATTGACTAAGAGAATTCTTTATGAAACAAAAGTTTTATGGAGAGAAACAAGTTGCTTTCTATTTAGGACAACTGCGTCGTCGGCAAGCTTGGGACCTCTTGGCAAGTCGATAGTGCCCAGCAACTTCAACTTTTCTTGAGCAGCCTACTACGAGCATTATTAGAGTTCGAAAAACAAATGCGATGTCTGTGACCTTCGCTATGTTCCCCTTCTTGGACAGGAAAACCCTGTATTTGCTTAAATCCGATAGCATGTCCGCAAGGTGCACGCCTGTTTGGTCTGTAATTTTGAGAGTGAGAATTAAAAGGGCGTCTTCAGAGGGAAAGGCGGTACGCTGGGTTGCTAGATAGTTTTCTTTAGCACCTGCAGCGTCCTTTGCTACGTTGACGACCGTTTGCCGCACTATCCACTTCGTTACTTCCTACGGGTAGTGAGGGTAGAGCAGATCTATTTAACGTTGTTTAGTAGCTTAACCTGTTGGTATTTTCTTAGCGTTGCTTCGGCTTGTGTGGGGTAATATGTAACCAACTGAAGCGGGGGGACGTCCCAAAGCTGAGCGGTGTTAAGCTCATTTTTTAGGCGGATGTTTTGGTCCAGAAGTTTGTATAGACAATTTATGGCCTGCACAGTAGTGGTTCTTTAGGGTTTAAGAATAAGTTTTAAGTTAGCAAATTACCGTTGAATCAAGCTGGAAAGTAGAAGACCGCTCACTTGTACGAGATGAGTCTGAAAACCGAGTTTTTGTATTGAACGAGATCTTATTAAAAAAAAGTATATGGAAAAACCACTCGAATTCTCGAACCAAGTCGGTTTTTCGGTAGCAGCACTTGAGCGAATGCCTTGATCTGTGCTGCTTACATATAAAACAGCGGCCAAATGATTACTTTTCGAGTTTGCGTTACTTTTTGTCTCTCGAGCTCCGTTCAAGATTGTGTTTTTTGGCCTTTAGAATTTCAATGTCGCTTCGAAGCTCGTTTATTGTCTCCTTCAGTTTTACTTCACTCGATTCCAGAAGAAGTATTCTACCCTTACACTCCTTCGCTTGGCTTGCTTGAAAGGCCATCTGCTCTACCTTACGTGTGAGGCAGTCGATCTTGACCTTGCACTCGGAAATGACAGTGTCCTTAGTGTAAATTTTTTTTTTTAGAATTGCGCACCGCTTTAAGCAATAAACAAGCACTTTTTGCTGCAGTTGCGTTACGTATTCAGAAGTCTCTTCTTCTTTGAAGTCTAACTTGCGCTTGTACTCTGCATGTTCTCGGAGCGCTTCCTTATACGTCTAGCCGGTCAGAATATGCAGCTATTCGGGGAAAGCAAAGAGCCTGTTCGTAAGCTGTTCGACCTTCGCCCTTAAAAGAAGGGGATGGACTTTTCCTGGTTCAGAAGACGGTGCCGCGGTTTCTATAAAGGCGCAGAGGAGGCGCATGAACTCGGTGCTTCTTGTTTCCAAGTCGCAGTCTGTTAGTACTCGTTCCAGTCGCATGGTCGTAGCCTCACCAGCTGCAGGGTCGACAAGAGTGCAGAGAGTGGAGGTGCCCTAGTTGCGCTCGTACCGAAAAATAAACGGAGAGAAACTATTATTTAAACCATTTTCTTGCACGTGGAGAGAACATTAGAAAAATCTGCTAGTCTTTCTAGTAATATACTCAAATTATTCTGAAGATCCGCTGCAACTCTTCCATTGCTCTTGTACGCCATGGCCTTGTACCAGGAGGGGTCTACACCAAGGACAGTAACGGACGGAAGCCTCTCCAACGCCTAAAAAACAACGGCAGCCTGCTATGACGAAAAAATACAGGTCCTCATACTCTTTTTACTGAATTGCGAAGCTTCCAAAAGCACGTCGCTAATGAGGTAATGGGAAACTCGGACGGTTCGCTTTCTCTTATGATGGTCTTAAAATCGCTAAGTAGCACCTCAAGCTACCAGATTAATAAGATTGGAAGGCATTGCAAAACTAATATGTGTTCGGTACGGCGGATAAAAACAGCGCCAGCATATTGCGAAGAAGAGGTGAATTAACAGGGGAGCGAGTGCTTTTTGCCGTAGCACGCAGCAAGCTTTGAAGACAGTCACTGACGCTGTCGAGTGTGTGAAGCTCATAGCTGGATGAGAGGTTCTACAGGAAAATAGGATCTGTTCAATGGTGTTCGCGCAGGGAGAGACACAACGGCTCACTCCCGAGTCGGCAAGCTTCTTAATTTCGTCTAGCGTGTTTTCTGAGAGATTCAAGTCTTTTGTGTATGCAAGCAGCGACAAAAGCTCTTCCTCCTGAGTATTGATAATACGATAACTTAGAATTAAAAAGGCTCCAATGCGTAAGCCCTACCGTCGAAGAATAAAGTTTCACGCCCACTTCGGTGACAGTCGCCGAAATATCGACGAGCCTTTTCAAAAGTTGTGCGACATATGTCAATAGAGAGATGTCCGCTGTATTCCGCATTAGTTGGGTAATGTAGGATAAGAGGTGGCATCTCGGGTACTTTCAGGAGAGTGAGAGAGTGGGTCCAGATATAAGTCAAGTTGGAACATGTGCCGTAGATGCTCTGCAATGGAGGTGGCTTTTAAAAGCAGGCGGCTCAACAACAAAATAGCCTCTATAACGCCTTGATCCTGCCTGTGAAAACAATACAGGTGTACTAAGAAAAGCGGACGGGAGACTTGCTGAGGGACCCCAGCGCACCTGAAAGAGGAGAGCATAAACAGTTGTACTAACTCCACGTGGAGTCGATACTCGTCCAACAGACGGGTCTTAAGCGTCTGTTGGGGAAAAAGGGCCTTAAAAGCTGGTTATTGCGTTGTTACAAGCGATTAACCATGTCAAGTGCCTGGTTTTGTGCTTTTGAGAGAGCCTCTTTTAACTGGAAACTCAAGCTCAATTCCAACTGCGAAGAGTTCTGGGTTCCAGCCATCTTCAAATAAGCAAAAAAGTTAAAGACATGTTATTCTTCTACCGAAAATCAAAAGAGGATCACCACATCGCTGCTCTGGCGAAGGCTCAATATTTGCTCATTAAGGGCAGCCACAAGGGACTTGTACTTGCTAATCGTTTGCTCTAAGGCAGTAATTTTCTCATTAGCCAGCCGAAGCCGGCAATTCTGCGGAGAAAACAGAAGTACAATAGAAAGCAAGTTATGCACTAATAAAGTAAGCTACCTCTTCGGAAAGCTCTGATTTGCAAAAGTCAAGCTCCTCCGTGAGCCGTCTCTGGATATCCGCATGGTGCACTTCCATCTCCTCCGCCATTTGCAGTAGCAATTCGAGTTGCTCAGCGGAATTTTTAAGAGCTCGAAGCTGTCTACCCTGGTCAAGGAACAGCGGGCGAGACAGCGGTGAGATAAGTTACCTTTTCCTCCAAGTGGAGGTTCTTTTCGGTCAGCTTCTCGACCAGCGTCTCAGCAGTGGCGGCATCGTCAAGTTGTAGCTTTAACTCGTCGACTTGGCCCTCTAGAAGCTCTTTGGCTTTTTTTTCTTCCGCATATTTTTCCTCAACAGCCCTCAAGCTAGACACTTCCTACAGGAGAATAATTGGTTGTTATATCGATTATTGAAAGGGTTGAAATGAAAAACCTTCTGGAGCGCAGCGAGAGTATTTCTCGCTTCAAAACTTTCGGAAGACGAGAGGTCGCGAAGGCGGAGAAGAGCCTCCTTGAGTCGCATATTCTGCGCTTCAAGGCTTCTAAGCGCTGCAGAGCCCGCCTTTGACTCTAGATATTTTTCATAAATCTTGCTGGGTGCGGGCCTTTTGAGTGTAGTAGTAGAAATAACCGGTACAGTCCGACGCCATCTCCTCTTTTAACACGCTAATCTCTTGGCGAAGTTCTTCGTTCTCTTCCTTGAAAAAGTATAAAGGTATAATTGGTCTCTTCACCGAAGCAACGTGCCTTTAACGACTGAAACTCGAAAGATAACAACTCTGCGCGCTCCTCCGCCATTTCCTTGTCGAGAGTGGCCAGCTCCAGGGCTTCGTGGAGCTCTAAGAGCTAGTTATACTTGCCCCTCTTAAAATTACCACTTGACAAATTAAAAATGAGCCGACCTCCTTCTCCAGACTGGCCGACCTTTTAAGACCTTCCTGAGTTGCGCGCTCGGAATCACGTAGCTTCTGTAGAAGGTCTCTCTGCGAGCTCATCCAGTGCTCCCTGTGCTCTTCAAACTACGGCCATCTCTTAATTTTTTGGTCCAGCGAACTTCTGGTTTGTAACACGCGTTAAACCTGGTTAATCGTGGCCGCCATTCGATCATATTGCTTTAGTTTATTTGCAGCTTCATTGTTTTCACGCCCGAGGCGACTGGACTTATTTAGAAGAAAAGAAGAAGTGGACTTTTAAAAATCGCAAGGTGCAACGAGGAAGGTATTAACCTCTTCCCCTTCCTCTAAAATCATCTGCGAGGGCTCTTCTAAAATAAAAAGTTTAGTAATAACATTAACTTTGTAAGTAGATTCCCTTGAGGTGCACATGCAGAGTTAGCTTTATGTTGAAGTAGAAAGAATAGATAAAAGTATAACTTCTTGAGGATAGTTTCAAATAAGCTCAGCAGCTCTACAGCACGATTGCTGGTGTCATTAATTTACATAAAAATATGCCGGGGCTCCCGACTTCTTTCACAAAGCAAAAAAATCATTTAATTTTCTTTTTAAATAATAAGCTTTTATTTTCCTTGAGATTAGTACTATGATAAGATGGTTTCAGTAAAGAAAAAAGGCTTATTTTTTTACAACGGCTTTTTTTTCTAACTACGCATTTAAATCGGAGTGCAGGTTAAAAAAACGGTAAAGCACTTTATAATAGAACACAGTATACAACTATTTAAAGTTTTTCAAAGTATAATAAAATTTATCTATCAGTAAATTTAGTGCATCCTACCCGGGCAGCATTAGTCAGAAATAATTTTTAGGCATATAAGTTCATAGGTCTTTTTCTTAAATTACTTTAAAGGGTTTACGTAGTTTACACCGAATATGAAGCATTTACCTAGCGGTATGGCCCTGTTGGTTTCGCTCTTTAGCTCAGCTTCCTGCTTGTCTAGGGAAAAAACTACATAATATTATCTATTAAGCTTTTTTTAGTTGACTTTTTAAAAAAGCAAAAATTGGACTTATTATTTAATATGATAAGCAGAGGCCTAACAGAAAAAGAAATATAAGTATGAATATATGGTAGGCACTTAATTCGCCGTCTTTACTTTCTGTTGACTGTTGGAGGATATTAACCTGTATAACGTAATTCAAACTTAAAACGGTTTCAGTACTTCATAATAAAATAAGTACTTGAGTTTTTCTGACAAAAATACCATGTTTCTCTTGGCATTCAAAATACCTAACTCCTTGAATGCATCCGTTATTTTTGCCTTTAGGAGATTGTAATTCAATTCCTATCTGATTAATTAATAAATATATTGAGGATGTTAATAGTTCATTTAAAAACTGAAACACCCATTCTCCAGGAGCAAAACTTGTGAATCCCATAAATTTTATAACACCATATAGGCCCCTGACTTTGACCTTTGACCCTAACTCCATAATTAAATTAAACGATCTCGGTCAGAGTTACTGAGAAAGTTATAGATCAAAGGAGGAGTTCACAAATGGCCAAAATTTTATCAAACTTCTTTAAATCCAACCACCGATAGGTTGCAATTACTGTAAAAATTAGTGACACCCCTATTACCCTTAAACAATTTAGTTCAAAATCTCCTCCAGCTCGGCGCGGTCCCCTTTAAACTTTGGGGTGCTGCCTGTGCACCTCTCCATTTTTCTATACTTCAACGTAGATTTTCATTTTATTTACATATATATCTCTCAGCTATTTTTACCTTTTTTAAACGAAAATTCTCACACAAAATTACTAAAATTTCTATTAGTTTTATGATTATTACTATTATTCGCTTTACTTATACATCTTTATTTAAAATAATGATCTCCACTGGAGAAGAGCAGCGAGCTCTTATTGCTAAATTATTAGCTATTATTGAAGAACTCAGAAGGGAGTTAGAATTTAAAAAGGCTAAACTCAAGTCTTATAGTCGAAAAGCCTCTCGATAGTATAAGCAACAAAAATTTTGTAAATAGGTTTTACAAATACTAGAGCGGCCAGGGCCTTCGCGGAAATATTGGGGAATAGCAAAGAAGGAGAGAAAGAAAGGTAAAAGGTTAGAACCAATTTGTATTCTACGTAGAATTATGTAGCCTTTATTGTTGAAAAAAATTTATTTCCATACTTTATACTTTAGCTCCTAAATCGAATGCTACTGAAAGAATATTAAGGGATTTTTTCTTACCATACTGGCAGGTCATCGTGTTTTAGAATGAAAGCCTTCTTAAGACAAGGTACTGGCTTCTAACGAAAGCCAAAGGTAAAGCTCAAAGTATTAGTAATGTTGAATAGAACTGAACTAGTTTTAGACCCTTCCTCCATAACTTAATCAAGTAAACTACAAATCGTTAATGCTGTATTTCGGTTAATGCTAGGGTAAAAGTCACTCTTTAGGCGTAGCACAAGTGGCGCTTTAGTACCGTTAGAGAAAGTTTAAGTAGTTGCGTTTCTCCCCTCACCCTTTGTAGAAGACAACATAAGTTATGTTCCTTACACGAGCAAGTCCTTTTTATAAACAACTAACAAACCCCCCCAAACTTTTGAAGAAATAAAAGACGTGGGGGAGACAATGCACCTACTTTTACTTCCTTTAACGGTGCTAAAGCTCCTCTTGTGCTACGCATAAAGAGTGACTCCATAGCGTCGTAAAATACAGCGTTAGGGTTTGCAGTTTACCAAAGGAATTTTATGTTAATATGAAGGTCGAGGGGGGAGAGCCTTTTACCCCCTATGATGGTAAGAGCACAATGTACCCTTTGTAAGTTCTAAATTTAACAACTCTCAAATGAACTATAGTGAAACGAACCGAGGAGCAGTAGCAGTAGCTTGCCATGCTACTAAATTATTGGATCTATAGAAATGAGTGGTAGCAGAGAAATCGTGTAAGTACATTATAAAACTTAGCTAAAAATGTTTAAAAACGACATGAGAATGTTTACCGAGGTAAAAGATGAAAAAGGTAGACCCTGCATTTATCAGGGGCGGAGAATGAGACAGCCGAATTTCTATTTAAAATGGTATTGACAAACTGTGAAGTCGACTAGGGTGACAGATCAAAAAATGTAGTAGTAATTTTTGATTAAAAGCATTTAAAGTTATTGCGTACTGGAAAAAAAAATTTGCTTCCGATTTTTAAAGGCAATGAAGAGGTGGAGCTTGTAATTACTACCAAAAACAGTAGACAGCTGTGTTGTTTGCCAGGGGTTTAGTAACAAATCAATTTTTGGACGAGGAGCATATCCATACAGTAAATAGATGGAAATTACCTTTTTACAAGTAATCGATAAGATTATGAATTTAAGCAAAACCAAAGCAAGTTTTGATAGCGTTTGGGTGATCGTTGCAAGCTTTAAAACTGAGAAAAGATTCTACTATGTCGAATTAGATTATTGAAAACAGTTTTTGGTATACAGAAACCGATGGAATTATAGCGGAAACGCACCAACTTTTTTTTTTTTAGCTCTGAAATGAAGGATTATATGCTCGTAGTAACTTTTAGCATGTAATTGCCGTTAATAGACATCAGCGTTAATGGTATTGTTAAACGGACTATTTAGACCACTGACAGGGGAAATTGCTATACAAGACAAGTTATACGGAATGAATTATCAGATGATGATGTCCTAGCAAACTGCTTAAAGTTTGGGAGTGTCGTCTATGCTCATGTTTTTAAAACACTATGTTCTAACTGATAAATTAATGGAAGAAGTAGATAGAGCTAAATGTCGGAGCAATATATAGACTATAATAAGTGTATAAGTGGTTTGAAAGTAGTTCTTTAAGAGACTATAAAAAAGTTCTATGAAAGGGGGTGTAAGGAACAAGGACACTTGAATTAGAGACATGTATGTTAAATATAATAATAAAGCTTTTAAAGGAAAATTATTAGGTAAAAAGGTAAAAGTAAAAAAATGTTCCTGGATACAGAAGTCTATAAATTTAATTTCAAAGGGAAGCTACTTTAAAGACATCGAGACTAGACAGTAATGTCTATGAGACGATTTATGGATATTAAGGAAAATTAAAAAATAAATATGTTAGTGCACTGTTCAATAACTCCTAAGTTGTTATCGCTGACAAAGAAAGAATGTCCCGTGTAATTATAGCCAAATTTGGCAGTCTCTGATTAGGGAGAGTCTCCGCCATTTTGGAGGGTTGGATACTGTTGAACAAGTATCTAGGATGAAATTTTTTGTAATACCAGATGATAATAAATTATTAAGTTATCAATGCTACTTAGGGACACGAATAAGGCTTTTAAACCCAAAAAATCAAATATGTTGGCTGCTTGCAAGTTTTTAAATAACCAGAATTTCCAGGGCCACATAGATAATCATTAACCGACTTTTTTCTCATTGGTATATTGATATAGTGGCAATTTGGGGGCGGTGAAGGGGGTGTATGCATGTAATGTGAAGGTTGAATGGTTGAGCTCACATTAGTGTCGGGGTTCGTGTGTACTCCTCAGTCATCTCGAAAGTTATTAAATAAATTAATAGTTTTTTAGTAATTACGATAAACCTATAAATTCATCTTTTTTCTATAATATATAGTTTTCAATACTTACAGTCTGTAGTATCAACAATATCAACACCTGTCGAATAATACTAATCTCCTTTCATTACATATTTTGTTACACTATGAGGTTATTAAGGCATTCGCGTATAAATAAAACCTTTTTCTTACAAAATTTGCCGTCTCCTAGGAATACTGTTTTATTTTTTTAAGTTTTAAAAACTTTTAGTAGGTTTCAAGTCCCCCACCGTCCTCTTGTCTAGATTTATATGGCAAGACATAAGGAATAACTATTTCTCATATTATAGAAACTCTTAAAGAAAAAGGGGTCGGTTTTTATGTCATATAATCCGGGGGTAGTGCACTTATGGAAAGTTGGGCCTCTTTACCTTATACTGACTTTTGACACAACCCAATCTTCCGCATTTGTGACATTCTATGTTTTCAAAAAAGTACAGGTTTTCATTACAAACTAGTTGTTCACATCTCACACAAACTACGCTATTTAAACTGTAGACATAGCTCACTTGCGTTGGATAATTTTTCGTTATTCTTAGTATAGTTTAGTCCTTTAGTAATCGTAAGGATGTGACCTCTGAAGTATACATGGTTTAATCTGATGATAATATAAGAGGCAGGCATATATAGAATCAGAGTTTGTAAATGAAAGACTTACCGATCTCTTTATGCCTTTTTAATAAAAGCTGAAGGCGTTATCGACTTAATTTGGGTAAAGACCGATGTTGCTTTGCGAAGGTCGATTCTACAACCTTAAAAAAATTCTAGTCCTGACTTAACAAAGCAACCAGTACTATATAATAGTACTTCGGTCTGTGACCAAACAGGTGCCCGGCTGTTATTACGGTTTCCTAGTTCCTCAGCGAATTTCTTAAATCTCCCGAACTTTATACGTTCTTCTTACAGTTGCCTCTCCAATTACTACCTACTCTGAAGGACGCAGGAGATTTAGTCATCAAATCAACGACGCCCATGGCCAGTATCATGGAGCCGGGACGTTAAATGTAGGTCCTTCGGGACCAAGTACAACTAAAGGAGAGTTAACTATGTCCAATGAGTTTCAACGGAAGGTATATGGTTCAAAATTAAGAAAATGCAAACTTTGGAGATCATATTTATAATGGCAGTTAAGGAGAAACCAGTAATATAAATAATAACTTTAAGTTAGTTAAAATAAAAAAAAAATAAAAAACTTCTATAGTACTAAAGAGAAAACAATAGGCTATTATTGTCAAAATAAGGAGAGCATTAGTGCATATCGACTTTTTTTTATCCGCTCGAGAGGAAATAAGATAAATAATAAAAAATTAAAAACCCATGTTCACCGCTAGAATAGAGGCAATCTATAACGCATGGTTATTTAAAAGATAAAGCATACTCGCTTTTATGTTAAAAGTTTTCATCATTTATTAGTCAGCTTCCAACTAATAATTTGGTTTACTGAGTTAAGTTAGCACGAAAAAATAGTTGTAATTAATTTTTTCTTATAATCTAAAGTAAACCGACTGTTAACAGATATGGAGCCCACAATTGTCTCTCACTTAGCAGCGAGCGCAGATCTCCACATAGTTTTTAGGCCGGAAAAATAAGTGGTATATAATCAAAGGGAGTCGCAATTTTAAATTATTTTAGTCGCCTGAAGAGTTACACAATCTTGACCAGTTACAGCTGTAATAAAGATGATTTCAAAGTCTAATAAAAACTAGGTACGCCTACCTACCAAATTGCTGATACAAATATATTCATCAAACAAAAAAGAGTATATTACTTTATTATCAAGTACCTTTACTTAAAATTAACAAAAGATAAAATAATCAATACAACTGAAAGCAAAGCCGTTATAACGATAATTTTTTCTCTATGGCCTTTCCAAAAGTCCGGATAATATTTATTAAAAAGTTTATTGACTTCTTTTTCTAAGTATTTTAGATTTCCATCATTGTTGATAATATAGTCCGCTAGCTTTCGCTTTTCCTTAAAAGACATCTTTACGTAGAGATTTTAAAATATTAGCTCAAACCATTTAAAAATATTTTATATAAATGTTTTAAAAAGGAAAAAGTATTAACTTTTTTAACTTTTCGAATAATAAAACTTCTTTACTTATAAAAAACTTATAATAAATAATGATTTTATTTAAGGGTATAAATTAATCAATCCTAATAAACTTGATATAACCTTCCTACTTTATTATAAATATTTTTTAATAAAAAAATGGAATCTAAATTTTTAAACTGTGCGATTTTAAAAGAAACTACACTAAGTTTCTAGAGCTAAAAGCCAATAAAGAAAAGGTGAATTTCTTGGTAAAAAAACAAGAGATCACGTAATGACCCCGCCAAGGGTAGTACAAGTAGCCCTCCCATGCCCTTAAAAAGTTCCTTTGACTGTTTTTTAATCTGCAACTTTGCGAATATACACCGCCACAGCGTTAGTGCGCAATAGAAAAGTTTCCTCGATTAGCCACTCTAAAAACTTGTTTTGGACATGAAAGAGGTGCCGTGAAAAGTACGAAAGTGAATTTTTTATATTCACTGTTTTATTTCCGTTAATATTGTTATAACAATTTATTATATTGATTATTATTTTTATTTTTTAACGTTATTAACGGTTTACAAATAAATTGTTTAGTTATTAACGAAAATGTTGTCGTGGCAAATAGTATAAACCTTAATATGTGCAAAAAACTTAGCAAGAAGTAATTATCATATTAACTTGTGATTTTATACGGTTTTTAGCGTCTTGGACTGAAAGCTTACTTCTCGCCATGAGCCTCTGAATTTGTTTGCTTTCGGAACTGCTCAATTAAAATATTATAACTTAAATACAATAAAAATTTAATAATGAATTTAGATTAAAACAACGAAATTATGCTAAAGTAAAACATCTATCATGATCACCGCTGTCATCCCGCACACAAACAACTTTAGTTGTAAATCGGGCACGTTTAGTTCAAGATTTGTAATTAAAAGTCTTTTAAAGTTTTCTTAAAGCAAAACTAACTAAGATGCTAGAAGATATTTCTTTTTTTTAAAAAAACTTTAAAATATTTATAGTTACGTGCAGTTTTATATAAAACTTTGTAAAACACTATACTGATCAACTGCAATTATAATAAAGAAGTTTTATTTAGTAAATATCAACGAACTACTTTCTTTTAGTAGGAAAAAAATAATTAATAAACTAAATGTATTTATACTTTCTGGCCATAACAATTGTGTAATGTTTTTGTTGCAACAAATATGCCAATCTTTTAAGATATAAAAAAGTGAGTCTAGAAAATACCCAAACTTTCAGTCTAGTCTAATATGGAGTAATATTTAAAAAATTTCATCATGCACAAAATGCAAAGCAAAATACAATTATGGTTTAAGTAATATTTTAGATAAACAAAATAACGCAGATTTGAAAAGTTAAAAAAAATTGAACAATTTTTTTTAAGAGATAACGATATAAGACAATGAAACGAAGAACTGCACGATAAAAAAGTTTTTAAAAAAATTTAACCAGTAAACAACAACATTTGGAGAAGTAATCTTATAAAAATTCGTTTCAAATAGTAATGGAACGTCAAATATAATCACACGAGCACCTGCAATTAAAAGTTATAATGATGATTGTAAATAAGTATATGTAAAGTGTAAAAAAAAAAATTTACTGTTAACTAAAGTGTTCTTTATAACGTGAATTTATATATATAGATCTGTTAAAGAAAAACGAAATCAAGCATTGTTTCTAATACTGTATGTCTTTCCAAACTTTATGATACGCGCAAAACATTGCTACCAGAAGTTCCTGGTGGGCACTAACTAGCGACTTGTTAAGGAAAGGAGAAAAGGTGCAGGAGTGGATGAGGCAGGCATACATATATCCGGACCGTAACCGTGCCGCCCACGTGCCGAGATCAAAGTGATGTCGCCTTCGTTTTTCTGAGAAGCCCTCACTTTTTGTTATTGGTTAACCCTGGATGCTATAAATTTTCTCTATGATACTAACCATCTTACCGCACTAACTTCAGTAGTTTATAAAGGCAGCTGGCACCATAAAAGACTTATTGCGTGATATTAATTAGAACAAACTACGCATCCTATACGACTAAAACTGGGCGAACAGTCAATGTGTGAGCAAATTGAGACGAACAAAATTAAATACAGAAAAAAGTTCGTTAGAAAGTTATAATCAAATAACTAAAAATTTTATTAAGACGTATTAAAAATAAAATTTAAGAAAATACAAAAACTTACAAGTAAAGTAAAATATAAGGTGCCTTTATAAAAATAATTATAATAAAAATACAAGAACACTAATATAATAAATTTAATATATGAAATGTTATGTACTACAGGCACACTGTTTGCTCACTATAGCAGGCAATGCGTTCAAAATAACTTGACATCAAAAAAATAATCAGCTAGTTGAGTACAGATATTTTTATAATCTTCCAAAAAAAATTCTTTCTGAAAATTTGGTGTTCTAAATAAAAGTTATAGAAAAAACTTATGCAAACTTTGAGTTACGCAGCGTGCAGCAAGCTTATGGTAAGGATATTTAAAAAACTTATTAAGTAATATCAATAATATACAATTAATTATAAAATTAAAAGTTAGTGACACCAATTTTCAAATAATAATCTTAACTAAACTTTGAAAAGACTATATTTAACTAAAAAGCTCGACTTTATTGAATATTTTTTTTATAAATTCATAAACTAAAAAGGATATGACATTGTTTAGAAAAACTAAAGTCATACTATTATTATTAAAAAAGGGCCTCTCAACATAAATTCAATAATTTATAGTAGAAATTAGTATTGAAAAAAACAGTTAGTAAAAACATGATACTAAAGCAGCTAACTCGTTAATATTAAAAATAAAAACCAGAAAAATACAACTTAACGGCCGCCAACAACATTTCCTTCAATATCGCTAAGGAAAAAAAATTTATGAAGCAATTATAAAAACTTCAAAACAACGGAATACCGGTGTGCACAATTTTATTAAGCTCAATTCTTTTAGATTTGTCGGAAAAAATCACTTTCCCGAGTTTTACTCTGATAATGCAGACACAAAAATGTTAGGGAAAAAAATACCCATGAAACCAGGAATAAAGAAATCATATATTTAAGTTGATAGATATAAAAAGTTAAGAGTGAATAGAATAAAATAAAAAGTAAATTTCTAGCTAAATAATATTAAAGATAAATATTATGTATGAAAAATCAGTCAAACAAAATTATGTATGTAATAAATTTAGAACCAATATATATATATTAATAGTAACTTTTTACCTATCCAAACTTTTATCCTTTTTTAGAAATTCCTCTCCAAAAATTGCAACGACCTTTTTCCAAGTGGAAGTATCTTATCAATGATTATAAACCACATTAAAGTGAGAAATAAATATAAGCTTTGTAAGTGAACTTGGTTTTAGCACATCTGCTGAAATCTTATCCGCGTCTACCACACCGATGGTGCCTTTACTTCCTAACCTTCCGATCACTTTTATGAGTAGAAATAAATAATAGAGCAACTACCCAAAGACGTAAAAATAGTAGAAACAGTAGATTTTCCCGAAGCAATGCCTCCCGTTAGGCCAAGAAGGACCACCATAACTAACTCTAAAATTAAACTAAACCCCTTAAATACTTGTAGCTACCAGTAAGTAAAAGGCAGTGAAGGCTTAACGCAATATAATGAAAAAGGGCGCACGCAGGGAGTGGGGCCTTTTATAATTATTTTGCTCTAACCCAAGGGTTACACTCTTGTTGTGTGTTAGCGGTGACACTTTCACAGGTTAAATGCCCATGCATCGCAGACCAAAAAAGAGTGTCGCATTGGTGAGAATCGAACTTACGAATTTGAGTATCCACCTAATGCTCTTAACCGCTGAACTACGACGGCAACTCTCGGTCCCGGTATTATGACCTTATGTATTTAACCTTTTAAACTGAACCACGCCGTAAATTACAATAAACCGGGGACAGTTTATTAAATTATATATTTGCCTTCATTAACACATTAAGCAAATATCTTCACGAGTAAGCGTCATTTTATATATATATTATACTTTAGTTTGTTTATTTTAAAAATTAATACCTTTGGGTATTCCTATTGGGCCTTGTGATAGATTATCATTGTTTTTGTTTTCGAGTGAATACACTTGCGGAGTCATGCCCCTACCCTTTTTAAGGAGGGAGAACACAAGTAAAGCGGTTTTTTAAAGCTCCTCCGTGGTATGCAAGTGGTGGAAAGAAAAAGTTTTTTTCACCCAGTTCGTGCACTTAGATATTTTTTTAGAAATGATTTGTGTAGATGCTCGGTAAATTCGAGAGCAGACTACTTAGCTTTACTAATAACTTATACTAATATGCCAGAAGTCGTATATAAGTTCTTGAGCCCACTGGTAGTTAGGTTGCATGTTAACACGTTCAAAGGGATTTCGGAAAAAAACTTCAAGTGGTTTCATAGTTTTCGTACAACGTTTCATTGCCCGCCAGACAAGGCGCACAGTTTTGTTAGGCGCAGGGATCTTGTTCTATTGCGTCTGCAGGAGTACGATCGTCGACGATTTTCGTATGTTTGAGCAACAGCTGCCTAGTCCATAAAAGCTCTAACGCAAACTTGATTGAGAAGCAGTTTTTCGCCAACTGTAAGGGTAAATACCCTGCAAATTAGAAGTTGCCAACATTACTTTTAAAATACACCTCATATAGAAAAACCTGTTTAACACCTGCCATTATCTCACAAGACAGAACAGTTTTACTGTCTAAACTTATACTCAATCTACTGCAGATAAAAGTACACAAATACCGATTACTTAGATAAGATAATTATTGAACAATTTGTTAGTTCTCCATAGCCATTAGCACACAAATCGCCATATTGACAGTGAACTTATTTTCAAATTAAGCACTCGACAAGGGTTAATAAGAATACGACCTTATTTTGCTTTCTGAAACTCGCTCAGAGAGTGTTCAGAGATATTTCTTACTAACCACACGTTTTATGGAAAAGACCGATTTATTAATAATAAGGGTTTTGGAGGTGTAGATACTCATTAATTAAAGACGACACTTTTATTGGAAATACTTCTATATTACAGCGTATTGAAGCACTGACATGCGCACTAAACATCAATATGTTCCTTAAAATTTTTAACTTATTTAAAGCCCCGAAGGATGGCCTAATAAAATAGACATAAAGAGTTGAATGATAATGCTGGCAAAATATTAAAACCGCATGCGGAAGGGAACAGCATATTAGTGTTAGCTTCTTCTGAACCTACACACTTATTAACTTGAGATTCCAAGATTGTAGGAGACTTTAATTTTTTAGAGAACCTACGTCTACATGTACGCATCATAACCCTCTACAAGTTATCATCCTATATTATTTAGTCCAGCTGTAAATTGGGAATAATTACTTCGAAGAAATTTAAAAAGTTATTAATCAACTGATTGACTCTTTTTAGTAAATCCATAAGCGACTTTTTACCGCCCTTCCCCTATCCCGCTTATTAATCCGGGATTGACGAAACTACATCTTTTATTAAAGATTTCGTTGAGTCTTTTTATTATGGGGTTACCTTTAACCTTCAAAAAAATTAAAACTTTATGCTTTTTTTCGCATTAATGAACTCTTTATCAAAGGGCGTCGTTCAAGAAAGTTTAAAAAGGTCAGTAATACTTCGTAACAAGAATTGCGAGCTTTTAAGACGACCGTTGATGTGGATGACAAAAATAAGTCTTAGGTTTCTATGATAAACAACGGGAAGTCATTACTCAAACTCGTAAAAAGTCTTCGTTGTTGAGATTTTGTATCGTCCCTGTAAGAGACTACTGTAAACAGGTAGGGGACGTGCTCTGCACATACTGGAACAAACATTCCTTTTTTCTACGCTGTGCAGACCCGTCTTTCACTTTTAAAGTCTTTACCAACATAGCTGAGATCCTTATTATTATTGACAAACTTGACACTTAGTAAAACTTGGGCCCCGCTGCAATCTTTACCAATTGCTTAACAATTTTTCTTTCACTTATAGAGCTCAATAACTTAGTTATTTTCATTTTACTGCCTACATATATTATGACAGGTTGATGGTTTCTATATACACAGAAAACACTCTTGTCCAGCGAATACACCTTGATAACCCCCATAAGCTTACTCTTCTGCTTAAAAATAAACTTGCGGAAGGTCTGCTTCGATTACGGTTGCAAAGATTGGTTAACATTGAAAACTGTATTTTAGCCAATCATTTTGGTACTCGAAGAAGTCATTCCACCGCTGAGCAAATCTCATAGGCTTGTACTTAACTAAAAAAAAGTTACTCTTGGTTTCCTTAGCGTAGAAAGTTATTAACAGCGTATAGTATAAATGTTTTATAAAATTTGATAAAGGTACATTTTCTGTATTTTGATACAAATTATAGAGCCGTTTCTTAGCGATAGGTCCTTTGTTATCCGCGTGAGAAAAGACTATTAAACCTTTGACTCTAGTGCTGGTGTTCTTTTACGAGCAGTTAGTGAGTTAGTTAGATTTGCGCGTAAGTATTCAAAAGAGATGTGACAGTAATTATTCGCGAGGGGTAATCTACCTTGCTTGTTTTGTTTATTAATTGGGCAGTCTGTGAACTTTGAGAAATTCGTCTCCATTACTCGCAGAGGTTCTTCTTTCATTTACATGCCATTCCTCTAGAATAGACCTAGTATATGAGTCTTCAATCATTATGAACTATACTTCTAGAATACTGGATCCGCAACTGTTTTCATATCTGTCAAAGAGTAAAGGGAACATTTCATCTATTAAGGTTAATAACCTCTTCAGGTGGTCTTGGGTTCACTGGGGTTATATCTTCCAGCTCAAAAACTTCATCTTGGATTGTTAATTCGTTGACGCAGAGGTAACAACTGATCTTGGACTTCTTTAGCTTCATCAAGGTGCCGAAGCTTGATTTAAACAGGTTAAATAGGAACTTATGGGTAGCTCCGCTTAGAAACATCAATTTTTTTTTTTAATCATTTAAATGCTAAACCCTATTAGAGACTAGCCGTACATCATTATCTCGTCTTAAGTCATTCTTCTGACCTGTAAAATTAAATCCAGTTGACTTAAAATATACTTCGTTCTTCTCCAATCACCGTAGAAATTGGGTGTTAAAAAGTGGTTCTTTAAAAAGTGGTTCTTATTTGTTTATAGGAGAGACTCCACTTTAGCTCGAGTCTCCTAAAACAACATCTAAGTATATTTCTTTTTGATCAGAGTCCACCTCTGTTTTTAAGGTAAAAAAATTTCTTTTTGGGAATATTTAGCTATGAACTAGAAACTTGCCAGTGATATTAATTTATTGAAAATAAAAAAACGCAAAATTGTGTAATTGGAATAACTTAATAATAACGAGATGTAAAATTAAAGAAAAATATTGCCCTTAATCCAGATAAAACGAATGTAGAACTAGCTCGCAAAAAAGAATCTAGAAACAAAGATATTAAGCTTGCAGAAATAGAACTAAGGAGATTGTTGAAAAGGAAAGGAATTAAAGTCACAGTACAACAAATACCGAAAGTATATTAGGTAAGGTCAGCGCATTTATTATAGAGATTAGAGCATATTCTATCTTATCCGAGAGGGCCATGTTCACATTGTAAGAGAAGTAAGAGTTAGTATTAACCGCTTAATCTTTAACTGAAAATCATGAGCATTTGAGCGCAATATCGAGATATAAACCCCTAAATCATAGTAATTAGGTTTGACGGATCATTCCAGCATTATTCAGCAACAAATGCCTAACGCAACTCTCCTCACTACTTAACCCTTCGTTAGGGTGCTGGAAGATAAAGGCACCATTATTTCTTGAGGGGTATTCTGCAGATAAATTTCTCAATTTTTTAGAACAAGTTTTTTACATGTATCAGGGAAATAGGGACTTTTACTTTAAAGTTAAAACACTTAAAGTAATTTATACACACCACGTTATCAGGGAAAACCTCAAATAGTAGCGCACGAAGGAACCAGGACTGGGTTATCTCTTACCCCGAAACACTAAGGATGGTTTAAACTTTCTTAGCGCTGTACGCCGATGACACTGTTATATACAATAGATCAAGAATTCCACCTTTTGCGATTAATATATGACTTTTCACCTTTTCTAAATTTTTTATGTTCTACTTTAGTAGGATTAGATAGTTAGCTATCATTTCTAGAGTAGTAGTTAAGCTTTGTTCTACTAAAGTGGAACTTTACTGTGGTTTACTTAGTAAATCCGTCATCAGCATTGGAGAAACTAGTTCGAAATAGTCCAGTATTATTGTGTAAGCAACAAGATAACTGTCTTCTAAATAACCTTGAAGTTCGCCTGGTAATTTTTCTTACATAACCGTAGGAAAGTAAACCAACTAGTACTAACTTAAAGGCTAAAAGTACTCAAATGAAGTCAAATAATGGAACAGCAGCAGAGATAAATTGACAGTTGACGAAAGTCAGGTGATCTAACAAGGAATAAAAGCAAGGAAGAAAATAATAACCTTGAACTAATAGTCATAGTTAAAAAATCTAGTGCTTCTTTACGAGTATTAACGATTGGTTAGAATATATGGACAGCGATTTTTTTTTATTGGCTTTATTTTAGTAAAAGTATTTTAGCTAAATAACT